CCACCTTCTTCTTTAGGGACAATGTTGGTTGGTTAGAAAGAAGCAGCCTGTCACCCTGTCCAGGCTCCCTCAGCACCAGCCCAAGGACCAGACCCTCACATCATTGAGTCACAGGCTGCCCTCTTAAGTCTGACCTATGGCTTCTCAGTCATCGAATCACTAGGCAGCAGAAGCCTTCTGAGCTCTTGAGTGTGTGTGTGTGTGGGTGCTTCTCACAAAAATCTGTCAATGTGGGGATGTTTCAGCAGAACTAATTAAGTCACTGTCAGAATGAGTCAGTGCAAAGGAGCCCCGGCAGGCCCCTGCAACTCGTGGTGAGTCATTGCCTTAAGCAAAAGTATGAATATGAATGTAGAATTACCTAGAGCTGCTCATTAGCCTGAGTTCTCTCCGAGGTAAAAGCTCAGGGATGAGGGCACAGCTCACTGGTAGAGGGATCACTTGCCTCACAGGTGCCAAGCCCTGGGTTCCACCCCCAAATATGCAAAACCTTGGGACATCTCCGGGAGTTGGCTTGTCCAGGTTCCTCCTGAAGCCTGTGGAAAGACCACTGTCCTAATTTGCTTGCTCAAGCATCAAGAACTTTGTGACCGAATTTTGAGGTATAACGAGAATACATGAGCACATGAAAACATTGTATTGGATGTGTAAGTATCCATGGCTCTGCCGAATAGTCTGTGATCCTATTTAAGGGAAGTCTCTACATTGGAAGGATTCCATTCAGTATAGAAGTGTGAAAACACATTTACAGGGTTCAGAATTAGATTCTGGTGGACTAACTTTTATTAGACACAGAGGGACTGTTTGATCTCTAACAGGACTCCTGCATACCTTGCTCCTAAGATCCACCTGCTTTCCTACTCCTTAATAAACAGTCATTTCCTAATAATTTTCATTCCAATTTTATAGCACTGGTTTTATTACAACTTATCTTTCAGAGTTTGATCCTTTAGAATCTCAGAATTTGGAGGTATGCTGCTTACTGCCTTGCTCCTCTGCCTTGTGACCAGCCTGCTTTTCTTACATAACCCAGGGCCACCTGCTGGGGGGGGTGGACCACCCACAGTGGGCTGGGCGCTCCTACACCATTCAGCAATCAAGAAAATGCCTCATGGACATGGCCACAGGCCAGTCTGATAAAGACAATTCCCCAATTCAGGTTTCCTCTTTCCAGGTATGTCAAGATGCCAACCAAAGCCATCCATGACAGGAAAACATGCAAACTCATCTGAAAGCAAAATATTCGTGTGTGTGTGTGTGTGTAGGCATGTGTTTCTGTGGTGGGTTTGCATATGTGTGTACTTGATTATGTAGGTCAGATGTTGGCATTAGGCACCTTCCTCTCTTGTCCTCCATCTTATTTTTCAAGACACTCACTAAACTGATGCTCGCTCACCTTCTACACTGGGTGACCAGCAAGCCTCAGGGATCCTTCTGTCTCTCCAGTGCTGGGATTACAGGTGTGGTCTGCAGTGCCTGGCTTTGGTATGGGACCTGCAGACCAAGCTTATCCTCATGCATGTGTGTGTCAAGCACTTTGCCAGTTGAGCCACTTCCTGAGCCCCTGAAATGCTCTTCTGATAGAGGGAAATAGATTCCTGTAGTATGTAACTTCCTCAGTGACTTCTGTGGAACTACAGTGGATCCATAAAGGACCCTGAGTCATTCGCACAGGCTGAACAAATCCAGTAATTTAGGTCATTTAATTCAATATTTAATTTCTGCTTTTCAAAATCTCACTTTTCATAAGAACTGTGTCAGAGAAGTTTGTCCATGTTCTGCTTCACCTCTTTACGTTACAATAATACAGGATTAGCTAACAAATGCAAATTTGTGATCAGTTTGTTATAAAAACCAAATTAAAATGCTGGGTAAGTGGTGCATGTCTGTAATCACAGCGATTGGGAGATGGATCAGGAGTTCAAATTCAGTCCTGTGTTAGAGCGTGTAAAGCTGGCCTGCCTCAAAACAAATAAACGAGCACACACAATACTTTGTGAAGTAAGTATGGAAGACTCAAAGCAGACAGGAGTTAAGGTTCTTAACTTGCCTCCAGGTCCAATGTGTGGGTCCTATGATTGTCCTTAACTCCTGGTAAGAAACTTAACCTGAAACAGGACACAGGCTTGGATCTTACCATTTCTTTGAAAATTGAGTTGAGGCCTCTACAGATATATGACTAAGCTTTAACTCAATGGCAATACAATCCAGGGAAGCTGTGATCAGGGCTTTGCATGGTTTGCATTTGGTATTTTTAGTTTTGTGCACTTCAATCCAAAGATTTCATACTAGATGCATCTGGCTCTCTTATAAGGATTTTTTGTTTATGAAGAAGACCAGATAATTAAGAACAGAGGGATCTTTAATGACTTGACACTTTTCAGTGAAGATAAGGAGAAAAGAACAAAAGGAGGCCATACAGGTCCCAATTCTTTTTTCCCTCTTTTTTTGTTTAAGGGTTTTATTTTAGTTTTAATTATGTGTCTGTGCATGTGAGTACAGGTGACCATGGAGACTAGAGGCAGGGGATCCAGTGCCCTCTTCTGACCTCCAACACAGTGTACCTACCTACATGCAGGCAATACACTCATACACATAAAATAAAAATAATACATAAAATATTTTTTCAAAAAAAGATCTCATAAAAATAACTCATTAATTGTAACAAAATAAAACACAATGGCATCAACTCTAGGCATGCTTCTCCAGAAAGTTCTGGAGGGCTGAGAGAAATCTAAAAGGATATGACTGACCTGCCTGAGGTAAAAAGTAAACAGTAATTTTTAAAGGACTTCGCATATCTCGAATTGAGAACGATATTCTGAAATATTTGGAAATCAATAGAGCATGTCTGTGAGGTTTTTGTTTTGCCACTGGAACCCACACTGGTTCTTCTTGGGGCAGAAGGAGACACCCTACGGAGGGTGGGTCTGAAGTCATGCTATCTCCTAAACAAATGGCACACACAGGGCTGCACTAGACTCCCAGGGCTTGATCTTAAACAGAGGCTTGGAATTCCCAAAGAGAGGAGTGAGAAGTCTTGGTAGGACACACCTCACTAAAAGTCACTTTTTCATGCTATTTCCAAGCACAATTCTTTGACTAATCTCTTCATTTCAGTGGCTCTCAGTAGTGTTTCTTCTGCCGGAACCTGACTTGTTCCTCTAGTTTGCAATCCAAAGAAGCCATCTGATGACACTAAAGGTCTGGCATATCCCAAAAGACATCTTCAAGAAGAGACTGTGATAGTTTGAATGAAAATGTCCCCCATTGGCTCCAAGTATTTGGACATTTTGTATTGGGAGTATTTGGGAGGTTTTAGAAGGTGTGGCTATCCTGGAGGAAGCACGTCACTGGGGGGTGGCCTTAGAGAGTTCTTAAGCCTTGCTGGATTTCCAGTTTCTCTCTTGCTTCCTGTGCCTGGTGATGATGTGAGAGCTTCTCTTCTGCTGCTCCTGTTCCAGCCACCTCCAGCCACCTCCAGCCACCTCCCTGCCATGACCGACTGTAATTCCCCAGGAACTGTAAGCTCACATAAACTCTTCCTTCTATAAATTGCTTGGGTCAGTGTTTCTATCACAGCAACAGAAAAGTGGCTAAGCCTGAAAAAGGTTATCAAGGGACTGGGGCTGTAGCTCTGCTGGTAGAGTACTGGGCAGGCTTCTTAGTCCCAGGTTCCAGCCCCAGTGCTGCATTAACTGGGTGTGGCTGTGATTGCCTGTAATCCTAACACTCAGGAGGATTGAAACCAGAAATAATCATAGAATTACCAGGAGTAAAATGGACATCTAAATTAGTGTGATGAGTTAATTAGTGACAACATTTTATGCATGAAAAGAATGCTTCTGGACAATAACGTGTTTGGACAAGTTATCCAGGGAAGTTAGCAAGTATGAAAAACGCAAATAGACTGAAATCAGAGAAATGCGCAGAATAAATCCAAATTCCTTGCTTGCGATTCCAGATCTAAAAATTCTCTTGAAAGCAAAACTGTTGTTTGGTTAGGTGCTATCTATTTGACAGTAAAACCCAGTCTAAATAGATGGAGGGCTACTTGTGTTATCTATTTATCCCCACTTACATACAAATATGTCTATTTTTACTGAAGAAATATTGTGTTTTATAAGATAGTAATCAGATAATGCTGGAAATATTCACATAGGAGACACAGTGTGTTACCGTTCTGAAACCTGGAAAACAAAATAATGTTTAAAGATTTACTCTTTTTGAGTATGTGTATGTGTGTTTGTCTGTGTGTAGTATATGCACGTGTGTCTAGTATCTATGGGGGTCAGAAGTGGGTGTCAGATTCCCTGGAACTGGAGTCACAGGCAGTTAGTTGTGAGCCACCATGTAGGTGGTAGGAACAGAACTCAGGTCCTCTACAAGAACAGCAAGCAGTCTTAACTGCTGAGTCATCTCTCCAACCCCTATAAGAGATCTTTTAAGGAATATCTCCTACCAAGGTAACACAGATTGGGGTAAGCTTGGTGGTAAACTCACATCACTAATAAATAATTCACTTGAAACCTACAGAGAAAAACCAAGCACATATCACATGGGTCAAGAACCAAAAAAATGGGGCTGGAGCTGGCTCAGCAGTTAAGAGCACCGGCTGCTACGTTCAATTCCCAGCACCCACGTGGTGGCTAATAACCCTCCATAACTCTAGTTCCAGGGGAATCCAATTCCTTCTTCTGACTCCACTGGTATTACACGGCATGGCACGGGTGACTCACATACATGCAGAGAATACATTCATACATATAAAATAAAAACAATAAATAAAATATAAAAAAAGAACCAAGAAAACAAAGAAGGCAAATGAATAGAACCTTCGCTCCCTCACTGACTGCTTAGAAAAATCTAAAGGATATTATAACCTTCCTTAAGACCACATTTTGTTACATGGCTTTTGGAACTGCAAGTAATTTTTATACGCAGTCTGTGATGGGTGCACACCATCTCAGCTTGAGCTGTTAGAAACACATAGTTTTTACCTGATATTTACACTCTGTGAAAGGCAATAGCTCTGAATCCATAAACGAGCTCGGGCTTCCATTGTGTGTTAACACTGGGCTGTATTTTCCAGGCTGGCTTGCTACATGTCTTCTGTACAATTCAAAGTATAAGACTTTTCCATTTGGCTGGTGTGGCCCTGGCCACCACAGGGCTACAGTTGGCTGGAATCTTCCTGCAGCCCTTTGCACCTTCAGATGTGGAGCAGGTTGCATCAGCAATGGCATCTCCAGAGTCTGGGTGGGTGTCCAGTCATGGGCAATGCATCCCATGACAGTGCAGGCTTGGATTTTCCCTTCATACCTGTAGGGCACAAGGCAGGGTCACAGATGATTCACAAACTAGATCTGCCTGGGACAAGTTTTTAAAGGACCATGAGTTTTTATAAAAGAAAAAGAAAGAGAGAAGTTCACATTTATTTTTATGTACAACTAATTTTTAAAATATTTTATTATTTTTATTTTATGTGTATGCATGTATTGCCGTCTGTATATGTATAAGTGTACCTCATGTCATGCAATGCCTGTAGAGTCCAGAAGAGACTTATTGAATTGCCTGGAACTGGAGTTACAGTTGTCAGCCACCATGAGGGTTCTAGGAACCTAACCTGGGTCTTCTCCAAGATCAACGAGTGCTCTCGACTGCTGAGCCATCGGATTCAAACTTGGGTCTTCTGCAAGAACAGCCAGTGTTCTTAACCACTGAGCCATCTCTCTAGCCCTATGTACAACTAATTTTTAAATAATAACAAAGTCTTTTGTTTTGGTGGTGGTGGGGCTGGTAAGGTCTCACTATGCAGACCAGGCTGGTCTCAGTCTCACAGAGTTCTATCTGTGTCTGACTCCTGAGTGCTGGGATTAGAGGGTAAAGTCTTATTGAGTGGTTTGAATATTTTCTGTCTTCTGATTTCCAAACTGAAAGATAGAACCTCATCTATTTGGTGATGTGTACAATTCTTGCCTTAAGGAGTGCTGTATATAATAAAGAAACACTCGGCACCTGGTCCCCCTTAGAAGGCTAGAGCCTTAGACCCAGGCCTGCTTTTGCTCTTTGTACCCCAGATCTCTGGACTACCCTCTTAGTCCAGACCTGCCCACTGCATCCAGATCCCCTGAACTCAGACCAGCTCAATTTCCAGTCTAGTTTGTTAGACCCCCGCCCCCCATAGGCTGTCCCCACCCCCAACCCCCACCTTACCCTTGGACTCCCAAGACCAGCCTTCTATCATGACATACACCACTCATCAAAGAAGCTCTCTTTTTTGCAACAGATGGATACTATTACAGAGTTCTACAACTGCTCTCACACAGAGAATATATGTCTGAGAAATGCCCAGTCCTAAGTGACATATCTAAAGTGGAACCTCTACACCTAAGGCTCATGGAACATAGTGGAACGGGGGTAGAGAGAAAACGAATACATCCCTCAGCTCTCATCAGTGAAAGCTCCCTCATACAACACACTGCGATGCACACAGAAGGCCACGCCTGGCTAAGTTTTAGAGAGAAAGAGACTGTAGAGTGTGTGTCCTTGCATAGGACCCCCATACTAACCGTCACCCACCCACGGCTCTGTAAACCATTGGGGAAGAGGGGCCAGAAAGACCGTAAGAACCAGGGATGGTGTGTGAACATAGGGAAACTGGCTTTTAGGCCTCTGGGAACTTGCTTATGAATTTGTAACAATGTTGTCAGCATGCACAAGACCCATGCTGACTCAATCAGACAAAAACCCAGCACAGAACTGGGGGAATGGGCAGCAGGCCCCGACTCTAGCCAAGGAATTATTGGTACCGATTACTGCAGGGTGAGGGAGAGTAGATCTTTAAGGGAGTGACTCTAGATGGGCTGACTAGATTCCAGTGGATGACCCTGCACCGAGGGACGTCTGAATACAAATGCTTGACTGGCTAGGACTTAACATACATGACAGAATACCTGATATCCTGTGAGGGGGCTATGGAGGGTGTGGAGGGAGTCTAAATATGATTAAGATGTGTTATAGGAAATACACAAAAACTCAATCAAAAAATTCTCAAGACTGTAACAATATGAAAACTGTGGTAGTTAACACAGCAACAAAGAACGAAGCTTTGTCTGCAACCAGACTGTAGTAGCCCCAGGCTTCTCCTTTCTGTGAATCTAGGGCCAAACTCCCTGGAAATGCTTCCAGGTCATGAAGGAACATCACAGGGTTAAATTCTCTGTGGTAACTGAATCCCTACACCTGATACCCGACGTCTTAAAACAGGTGTCACATGAAGATCTTTAGGGGCCAAAGTTGACCCAACTGTACACTAGATTATCCATCATGGAGACACATTATCACCATGCAGTTAAACTTAACTAATCAATTATGCTTTGCCTCAAAGCTGATATCTGCCACTTGGAAAGATCTATTTACACAGCGGAGACTTACCCACGACAGGTCTTTTGTTGGTGCTAAGGGCCTGGGCTCCTCTGTGCCCATGCCCCACTGGTTTTGTGACACCCTAACTTCCCCTCGATCCCCTCACTACCCTTCTCCCTGTCTCCTTCCTTGGGTCCCAGTCCTTTCTGTTTTCTGCCTCCCCCACTTTCCTTTTGCAGTTTTGCCTTCTTACCTATACCTTTTCTTTGTGACTTTGTGATGCTTAGAGTTCATTGCCAACTTGACAGGATCTGGAATCACCTAGGAGACTAGCTCTAGGCGCACCAAGGAAGGATCTTGTGTCCAGGGGTTAACTGAGGTGTGAAGAGCCATCCTAAAAGTGGGTGGCACCATTCTCTGGGCTCTGGAGAGGGGTCTTGGACCAAATAAAAAGGAGGAAGTTAGCTGAGCACAGCATTTGTTACTCTGTGACTTGACTGTGGAAGTGATGTGACAGGCATCCCAAGCTCCTGCTGCTGTGCCTCCCACCATGACGGACTGCGACCTAAACTGTGAGCCTCAACAAGCCCTTTCTCCCTTAGGTTGCTCTGTGAGTAGATGTCTCACAGCAACAGGACATGTAACTACGGGAGCCTTCTTTCACCCTCCTCACCCCTCCCTGCCCCCACCTCCTCTCTTACACATCTCCCTGCACATCTCTCCATCCCTGAGTGTGGCAGATCTCTGACTGCTATGCTGTGAGGTCAATTTTGATTTTTCACACAAGGATTATTCATTATTTGGATGATCTGTGGCTAGTTTTAAAGTCCTGGGTCAAGTCAGAGATGCAGTTCAGTTGGCAGAGTGCTTTCCCAGGATACAGGGAGCTCGGAGCTCCATCCCTAGCACTGCACCCATCGGGCGTGGCTGTGCATGCCTGTAATCCCAGCACTAGGAAGGTAGAAACTGGAGAAGGAGTTCACGGACAGCCCAAGCTCCATGAGGGTCAGTCTTAAAAATACAAAAACAACCAAAAAATCTGGTGTCTTAGCACAAACCTGTCATCCCAGCCCTTGGCAAGGAGGCAAGGAGGATCAGGAGTTCAAGGTCGAGCTCAGCTACACAGCAAGGCCTCGGCTAGCCTGGGCTACAGGAGAGCCTATTGAATACTGAAACCAAACCAAAAAGAAACAAAAACTCAAACAAACATAAAGTCCTGGGTCAGTTTCTTTCCACTTCTAGAAGATTCCCAGACAATTGTCTTCCTACTGACCTGCTGGGGATGTCTAAAGGTGAACATTCTAATTTTCTTGTGATATTCCATTATAGATCTTTGGTGTGACAGCTCTATTAGAGTGGCTGATAACGAGACCCTCATATCATCAAATGTCATAGCTAAACTTATCATATTAATCAATTAAAAATTTTTCTTTTTGCCCAGAAAAAGTGTTCTTCTCACATCTGAAATCTTTCGAGATGAAAGTTTTCAAAGGGGGATAACATTGATACAACATCTACACTCATACTGGCAGTCAGTGAAAGAGGAAGCATTAGAAAATGCAGGGCTATGCATTAACATGGCCTTTTTTAATGCCCCAAGTTGGAGCGAGGTAAAGGCCAACTTGCACAACATGAAGATTAGCTGTGGAGGGTACCTGAAGAAGTTTTAATTACTGTTTAATATTTAATATGACCCTTAATAACTGCCCTGAGTAGATGCATAAGACCATGAATGTTTCATTTAAACAGCACTAGACATCAGAGATCATTGTGGCCACTGTCTAATCCACACTGCAGTAGTTGTAACTGAATTTTACCAGTGGTGGCTGGACATCAACATATTTTTAGCCTTCAATTTTTTTTTTAAGTGGTTCTGTTCATCTTGTTAAATTTGTAAAACGTCTTTCCCATCTGCCCCCTCTGGCAATGTAAGCACCTTGAAATGGGATGACAGGAAAGTCCTAATCAATTCATCAGGAAGTGGGCTGCTGGTGAGATCCCCATCCTTGGAGAAGCAACAGAGCTCCACAGATGTCACAGAGGCCGGGCAGAACAGGCCCACGAAGTGATACCGTCAGTGCGGTCATGCCTAAGCAAATACTGATCTGATCCAGTGCAAGTCTGCTGGATGCCTCTTCAGTCTGTGTGTGTATGTGTTTGTATGTTCTGTATATGTGTATGTGGGGACATGTGGAAGCCAGAGGTAGACATCAAGTTCCTCCTCATTCAGTCTTCACTTTACTTTTTGATACAAGGGCTTGCCTGCACCTGGAGCTCATGACTCAGCTAATCTAACTGTCTGGTGCATTTTCCGGGACAGGCCTGTTTCCATCTGTGCTGAGGTTAGAGGAATATGCCCAGCCTTTTATGTGCTAGGGATCAAACTCAGGTCCTTATATTTGGGTGGCAAGTACTTTACCCACTGGGCCATCCCTCTATCCCTCTTGAGGTTCGCTGATCGTTCAGAGGCATGAGCAGTTTAGGCAATTATCCCCACCTCCACACTACCTGCTCCAGAGATGACCAACTGCAAACATTTCTGAGAAACTGGCATCAAAGCCTCACCTGTAAGAACTGTATTCTCCAGAGACTATGAAAGCAGGCTTTGGTCAAATGGAGACAGGACCTGTCCACTGCCGATGGTCGAGTGCGCAGTGGTTAAGGGCACTGTGTATCTTGCTTTTGGAGTCTTTTAGTAGCACCGAGAGGACTCGGGCAATGGAGGGCAGTGGCTGCCTTCCCGAAAACCCAGCTTGGCTACTTACATGTGAAACGGCTTCACTGTGAATGACTGTGTACCAGAAGAACTGTGGGTCGTGTTAATGCATACGGTTTTGATCTCCCTTTCAAACAGCTCATGGATGAAGAGGATATAATTGGTGGTATCACTGCTTATTCTCACTGGAGGGGCCCAATTCGCCAAGATCTCCTGAGCATCCCTCGTGTGAAGTTTTGGGGGTTCCAACCCCGAGGGTGCTGAGGGGCTGGTTTGATCTTTGATGAGTGGACTCAGGACACATCCTTGGCTGTTGATGGCAGTCACTGCGTAGCCATATTCCATACCCAGGGTAAGGGTAAAGTCATGGTAGTGAGTTTCCAGACCTGTATATACAATGTCTCCATCCCTCTGAAGCTCATAACTTCTGATCTGGCCATTTAGGGTTCTTGAAGGTTTCCATGTGATTTCTATTGACAGTGAACCTGTGACTTGCAGTGCTGGGGAGCCCGTGTTCTCTGGAGGGACCTCCATTGTCCAGGCAGATGTGGATGCACTAACGGTGCATCCCCCATTTGTGCAAGCTACAAGGGAGGAATTGTACTGAGTGTAAGGCTGCAGGTGGGAAACCAGCAAGGACAGTCCCTGTACAGCAAGGTACTCCTGATCAGTACATCTAAGCAAGTATTTTGTAATCTTTCCATTTTGGGTTGACGGTGGGGACCAAGACACATTTATCTGGCTGGCACTGATGGTCTGAAGAGCTGGAGGGCTGACTCCAGCTGGAGCCGCCTCAGGAGTAGTGATGTTGGGTTTGCTGGTGGAACAGCTTCCACCTGTGCAGGCGAAGACTGCATAACAACTGTAGGTGGAAAAGGGAAGCAGATCGCTATCAGTATAGTTGAAGGTGGCGGCATCAAAGATGTAAGGACACAACACTCCATTCCTTTGAAGCCCATGGGACTGGACGAGGGCATTAGGTTGTTGGGGAGGGACCCAGGAAATCAGCAGCTGCATAAGATTCATGGACACATTGGACATCTCAGGTGGAACAAGGCCTTCTGGAGGCGTCTGCAGTGTCCTCTGCACATTCCAAGAGCTGCAGGTGTGCCTTGCTGAGTTCCAAGTGCGGATTCTATAGGCACACTGTGTCCATGGATGCAGACCCATGTCATTAAACACATACATGTTCTTTTCTGTATTATATTCTGTGGAAACAATGTTCTCATCTGCCTGGGTTGTCCCATTCCCCCAATCCTCTTCTTCGAAGCATCTATGAATTATGTCGTGATGAATTATCTTCCCATTTGGGTTAACAGGTTCAGCCCAGCACAGCTGTACACTGCTAGTCTCCACAGACTGGGTGGTAGGTGCCGATTGAGAGTCTGGAGGGGCTTCCTCTGTCCAGAGAGGCTGGAGCTCTGAGTGAGCACAGCCTGCCACTGTGTAGGCCTCCAGGGTCAGGGTGTAAAGAGTGAAGGGGGCCAGGTGCTGGAAGAGGAGCTGATGAGTCAGGCCAGGGTACTCCAGGATCCCGGAGCTGAAGATGTTGTAAGTCTGCCAGACGAAGAGAAGAAAGGGGACATGTCAGTTCCTTGATACCTCTATTTAGCCCTCCTAAAACATTCATGAACACCCCTTCCTTGTCCTGATGACCCCAATCTTTCAGAAGCGGGATCTGTCACAGCTAATGTGAGGGCCACAGAAAGGAACAGACTTTTTAAAAGTCTGGATAATACACAAGGGTTTACCTCAAGCCCAGGTCTGTGGAACTCTATGGCTTCCGTGGCTCGTGAGGGGTCACCTGCTTCTACTTCTGGGAAACAGGGACGACTATTCAAATCTCCTGTTTAAAGATGCCACAAAATTCTGATCTCATCCTGACCAAGGTACCTGGAGCATATTCCAGAAATCTGTCTTCCACCAAACTCTGGGAAATAGAAACATATCACTCAGCCTTCTTATAGAAGGGATCCAGAGCCGAAAAGGTGTCTCCACGTGCATATGTATGTGTTTGTATGTAGGCACACATACATGCTTTGCAAATGTATATATAGATGCATTTGTATGTATCATACATAGATATACTTTTATGTAGTTTTAATTATGAGATAGGAAAGACAAAACCCTTGTTTTCTCACCTAGATCATGAAGGAATCCTCTGATTCTCTGGGGTGAAGTACTCATTTTGATCCAGGGAGGATCATCTGAGCACCTATCATCTAGTTTTCACTGTAGTGGCCATTTTTCTTTTGGGAAGCTAGAAGGCAGATCTCTGGATCGTTGGTTTTGCTCAGTCCCTTCTTCAAGGGCCTGGAGCTGGGCATACTTCTGAGAGGGCACCCTACCATGCTAACTCGCAGAAGAGGCTCATCCTACTCTCATGGGAAGCACAACAAGGTGTTTCCCGAAGGCGCTAATGCCACAGTGACTTGTTAATATTCTCTACTCTTGAGATTAAACAGCCTAGACTTTCGTAAATCTATGTTAGAATATTATTGTTTGGGGTATGATTTCTTCTCAGGGTTTCCAGGGTCAGAACAAACTCCTAGAGGAAATAAACATCATATGTTCCGAAGGGAACAGGGTTCCACAATCAACTCACTTGGCTCTGTTTCCCCGGCTCTGCCCTGCTGTCCTGCTCGTCACCTGGCAAATCTCTAAACTGTTGAATTCATCTTTCTACATATAAGCTTACAAATAGACCGAGAAAAATATTCAAATGTGCTGTTATGGATTGGATGAGTGTTCCTCAAAGACCCATGTGTTAAAAACTGGTTCCCCAGGGTGGGGCTGTTGAGAGGTGGTCTATTATTAGGCAGGGGGGATTCCCTCATTACTGGTATACCCTGGAAGGGGTTGTGGGTCTCTGGTCTTTTTGTCCTTTTCTTGCGATACCATTCATGGTATGAATAGTTTTGCTTTGCCTGGCACCATACCCCTTCCAAAACCCATGATGTGCAACCTTGCCAGAGGCCACCGAATCTCAGGACTTCTAGAATCATGAACTAAAATATACTTTTCTCTTTATGTGTGATTGGCTTCAGGTATTTCATTGTAATGACAGAGAGCAGACAAATCCATGCTGGTCTTACTTAGAAATCTCTTACCGTAAATCTTACAAATTGCGATCCTGCTTTATTCTCCTATGTGTCTGTCCTCCCACTTTGCAGAGTAATTATTCTATGTGCCCTTTAACCTCCAGAACTGTCATTCCTTCCCAGTCCACTGCTGATACTCCCCACATCCCACTGAGAAAACAGAAGCAGGTAGAAAGTTTTCCTGTGACATATTTTTGCCACCACATTCTTGTGAATCAGGACAGATTCTAGCTGGTATCTCATTTAAGTTATTCTAACTTATGAGTCTTGGCTGCAGTTTGGTGAGAAGGCATGTGTGAACAGCCACTTTCTAAACTTTGAGTATGGTATTCAGTAAATGACATAGCTATTCAACACTTTATTATGAAACAGTCTTTGTGTGAGATGATTTTGGTCCACTGTAGGCTAATTTAAGTGTTCAGAGAATATTTATAGGCGAGGCCATGCTATGGTGCTCAGTAGGTTATGTATAGTAAAGCATTCTTTCAGTTTAATAGCATTCTCAAGCAGTGATTGGTTTATTTGGGTGGAACCCAGGCATACATTGCCTTTGTCACTTTGGTTGAAGTATCTGTGCCCCAGTTAAAGGCCACCCGAGCTGTGCATCCCCTTCCTCCTCTCTAATGACTTCTCTCTTGGAATTCGTCTCATCATCTCCTCCCTCACCGATTTATCTCCTCTGGTTATTTCCATTAGTGTTTAAGTGTGCTCTAGTCCCTCATTGATTTTTACATAAAAGTCTCAACACCCCAGTCTCCTGGCTACTGCCCCGTCTCTGTTCTACGTTCTCCCGAAGCTTCTTTAACAAGCTGCCGTCCTTTCCTGGCTTGCCATTTTCTCCATTCCACTCAGGAGTCTACTTCAGCTCTGTCTTCTTGTCAAGGTCACAGTGACCATCCTTGCTATTCCCCAGTCCAGATTCACTTCTCCACTCTCACGCACCTCACCCTCCAGGTAGCACTTAGCATCTCCTTACCTGCTTTTGGGGCACCCCAGTCCCCTGCTCTCCATCCAGCCTTGATGGCCTCATTTCACTCTTTCCATCCAGCTTCTCTTCTTTGTCGTGACCTCCACATTTTATACACCCCAGGGCTTGATCCCAAAATCCTCATCTCTAACTATAGTCTCTATAGCTACTCTGTCTCAGTGCCATGGTTTTAAATGATATCTATTTGCTAACACATTCCAAGTATGTAGCTCAGTGGTGACCTCTCCTAGGGGTTTTGAAGCTGGACCACTGACTGCCTACTTGCCCTTAGAACTTGTTTCTCTTCCAACTCCCCTTCCTACTTAGTTAGGAGCTCAAGGCCAAACCCCAGAAGCCATCCTGAAGTGCTTTTTCTTCATGCCTCATATCCAGCCCTTTAGAAAATTTTCATCTCTCCCTTCTAAATTTATATCTCTGGCACCCCCATGTTCCTTGACTTCACAATTCATACTCTAATTTGAACCATCTGATTTGAATTTTACCCTGAATTCTCCAATAGGCTCTAAAAACTCTACCTGTATCTCACAGTTCACGAGTGCACGGCCAGACTAACAAATTCCACGTTGGGATTCCTTTGCTTAAATCCTTCTGTAATGTTTCATTGCACAGCAACCTCTCTGTTCCTTGTCACAGCCCCCCAGGTGGGGCGCAGCCTGCCTCCAGTCTCTCCTGTTCCATCTCTTCCTCCTCCCCAGTGCTCGATGCACAGAGGCTTTCTTCCCTTCCCTTCAACATGCCAAGTTCATTCCTGCCTTCAAGGCCTTGCATTTGCTGTTCATTTAGTCTAGAACATCTTGCCCCGGTATCTTCACATGACTGCCTCTGTCTTGTCAGTCAGGGCTCAGCTCAAATGTCAACTCAATTCAAATGATTATCCATTTTAAAATAGCCTGAGCAGGCATAATTACATGACTCTATTTAATTTTCTTTATGGCATCCATCGCTGTCTGAAATTCCCCTGCTTGTTTATTTTCCAGCTTACCGTTTGCATCTCTGTCCCCCCAGTGCTCAGCGCTCACCGGCATTTATTCATATCCATGTAAGGGCCCTGACAACAGGGACCTTTTCTGTCTTGTTCACTCTTGAATAAGTGCATGGCACTGAGTAGAAGCTCAATAAATATTTGGTGAAATGTAGATGAAGGCAAGAGGAGTCAATATTCCTACCGTCAATCACGCTAGGGAGAAGCCGGCGCAGGGAGAGCGACAAACACAGGAGGAGCTTTGATGGAGGGGATGGAGAAAGCTCTGTGCTCTGAGGGAACTTAGTGCTGGGATTCAGGAGTTAGGGCTGGGGATTTAGACCTCTTGCCCTAGGGTAGGGGATTGTCTGTTGTCTGCTGGTGGAAAGAGGCTTCCCTGTAGGTACCTGTTGCTGGTTACAGGCCTACCGCTAGGCAGAGAGGCAGCCCAGGGAGAGGATCTCCAGGGCGGGGCTGGCTTGGGAACACCAGGTTCGGCCCTGAGTTGCTGCACAGTTTCCCGTTGCTGTCGGAGAGCCTCACTGACTTTCAGTTTAGTCTGTTTCATGTGGATTTGGCATCTTGACCAGCTCGGGAAAGAACCAGGAGGGAGTGGGCAGTGGACACAGCAGCTGTGGCTGGGGATTCTGCAGCCCTGGCTTGTGGGAAGTAGCTGAGGAAGGGGTGGAGGACTACAAGACACTGGAGGTCCAGCCAGTCACATGGATGGTGGGTGAGTTGCCATCAGCCTTGGAAGGAATCAAAGAGATAAAGAAAAGATGAGTTCTAGGGGCTGGGGATGTAGCTCAGTGGTAGAATGCTTATCTAACAAGCAAGAGATCTTGGGTGCCATTCTCATTAAAAAATCCTGAAAAAATGAAGTCTGCGTACCATGTGGGTAAGGACTCAATGCCTCAGAATGTGGGCTATTCATGGAAATGAAATCTCCTTCATACCCCCCAGGCAGATGAGGCTGGGATCTACCTGTGACATTTGTGAGACTCTTTCTCTTGGAGGTCAGGAGGGAGCAGGCAGATGTGTTAAGTAGGTAAATACCTAAGTAGGTTGGGGTCTTTTAAAGTTCAGGTCTTGTGGGACTTCTTGGCTTCAAATCCCACCTCCATCTTTGACAACATGGCCTGGAGCACCTATTTAACCTTTATGTGCCTCATGAAGTTTAGTGGGTTCCACTTAGTGGGGGTTGATGTGAGGATTAAATGAGGTAATCTCAGCACACTGCTGGGTCCACAGCAAGCCACACACACACACACACACACACACACACAGACCTACTCTTCTCTGATCTAGGATGAAGTGCCTAGAGGAGCCGTCAAGGAGAATTAAATTGGTTTTGAAGAGGGTTTTCTCACAGTGACCTGATAGCATGTCAGGGCTCATCTGTTTATGTGGAGGACACTCAACAAAAGTGGTTCCTGTGAGGATGGACTTTACCTTGGTCACCCCCGTGGTTCTCCCAGGCTCTGACCACTGGAGTAGCGACACCCGGCCACTGTCCTTCTGCTGCACTGTACAGTTTCTCAGTCCACTTGGGGAAGATTCGAAAGTTTGGATCAGAGTCCAGGGGCTTGAAACTTCTACAGTGTTTCCAGCCACCACACCGACGTGGTATGTTGTGTAGGGCTGTAACCCAAGAAGATGGGCTTGATGGCTTGTTCCCCGTAAGAAAGTTGACAAATTAGGTATTCTTTAGAAGTGAACAGAATGAATAGATCATTCTCTGAACTGCAAAGCATGCTAGGACATAGTATGTTAGCAACAGCAGCACAAATACACAGCCACGGTTTCAACGGGTTTCACGGTTCTTCCTGACAGGACCCCTTGAGTATATTAAGTAATATGTGATTTTGGATACATGGAAAATTTGGATCAGGTAGAATCTTTGCATTTTCAGAGATGTGGTCTAAAGATGTGGGATATAAATATTAAAAATAAATCTCTCTGGGGTGCCTAAGATCAGTACTGGATTTCGCTACAGCAAAGACCAGTGGCACTAGGTTGTGTGTCAGAGACTAGGAGAACTTCCCACCAGACTAATCTGAACCCTCTGTGAGATTCAGTTGGAACGATTGCTCTTAAGCCCCAAATACCCCATTTGACTTATTTATACTTGACTCTCCCTGCCCCGCCCTCTCCCAGCCTCCTTCGCTCATTCTCTTGGTGACATTTATAATTTATAAAATTCAATAAAGCAGGGCTGGAGAGATGGCTCAGCGATTAAGACCTCTGGCTGCTCTTACAGAGGACTTGGGTTCGATTCCCAACATTTACATGGCAGCTAATAACCATCTGTGACTCCAGTTCCAGGGATCTGATGCCCTCTTCTGACCTCCTCATACAGTGGACCACACAGATGCCCTTAAATACATATAGGCAATACACTCATACACTAAAATAATAAATAAAATATTTAAAAATCCAATAAAACAAACACATACAAGGAAAGAGCAATGAGCCCATTGGTCTATAAATGTCCAAACACCCTTGGAGAAATCTGTTATTAATGAACATGTGAAAATATTCCCATTTGTTAAAAAAAGCAGCTTAACTAAAACCTTGAAACACACCCAAAGTGACTGTTATCTAGGCGTTGAGAATTTTGCCTTTGCTGATTTAAAAGAAAAAAAGGCATAGCAGAATTAGTTTTGTTTGTTTCTTGTTTGGAGAGAGAGAGATTTAACATGTTTCAAATAACAACTGGAGTTACGGATCAGATCTTAATGTTTTGAAGGGCCCTTGGTACTCTTGTCAATCTGGGCTGGATGGATATGCCTGTTTAAGGTAGGAATCATGTCTGCATTGGGCGATAGCAACACATGCATGGGACACACACATACACACACACACACACAGAGGCAACTTATTTTGGGGGGAATTTTTTATTGTGTACCACACCCACTGAATTTGAGTGAGTCATGATATCTATGTTTAATGATATGTGAGATCAGCTTTGGTTTATTAGGTGTCTAAACGTGATCTTCATAGATACTCTATCAATTGTTTCTGTTTCTTGATGGACAAGGGAGGGGTGCAAGCAAGGTAGGGCCAAGTTGTTAATTCTGAGAGTGGGTAGCTGAGAACATCAGGCTCCGCTATGTGGAAGGACGCCTTAATTTGGGGCTATCCAAATACCATGTTGTATTAAATCAAGTATATGGTAACAAATTCAAACGGAGTCGTTTTCCAAACACCCTGCGTAGACACAACCAAATGATCGTAGACATCATTTTTCACTTTTCCTTATATTTTTGGTTATAAGGAACATCTGAGTTATTATCTCTTATTCTGTGTAAGACCCTAGCTGAGAAAATACAATTTCCTTTACGTATCAGACTTGTAAAGTCAATTTTCTTGTTTCAATAAGTTCTATTATGATATTACAGGCTAACCTCTTGAAATCTTTTAATATTTAAACATTTGCTAAGCAGCCAGACTCTGAAACAAATTTTACAGAAATACTAATTTCTCTTTTTTAAAATATTAAAAGTTAGATCATGAATATTTAAAAACTTATTTCTCCACAACATTGGGTTGGTCTTTTAGATAAATATAGAACCAGAATGACCATAATGAATATTAAATTTGAAGATGCTACAAGTCCTGATTACAAACATTCTTTTATGATAAATGATTCCTTTTCTCTGGAAATAGGGCAAACATGGGTGAGATTAATAATGCAAAAAAGAATAATTCTTTGTTCCAAAGATTCAGTAATAGATGTCAATAAAAGCAGAGGCCCCAGAGCAAACTGTAATCACCTCTAACAGAATATATAATATATATATGTATGTATATATGTGGGCTGTTGGGGGACACTTAGTGATAGCTTTTGTCATCTGAAACTGGGAAACCATGTGGGCTATAAAGCAAAACATATGTATATGGTCAATAGCGGCACCTGCTCCATTACAGTTTATTTCAGAGCTGAGACCTCCATTCAGCCCCTAGATGGCAATACTATCAAAGACTTTTGGAAACAGGAGCACTTAATGATTAACAACCAGCATTCGGTCTTCCAACACACTCCCAGCAACCATTAAAAAAATAACAGAACTGATTTCATTATAAATTCTTTTTAATAAACATTTATGGCTCAGATCCTTGAAAGCACAAGTATTTAGAATGCTCTGGCTGCTAAACCTTCCACCGTCTAATGTGGAAACAAGACCCATATGTCTCAAGTTGAAGTTCGTGCCTGTCTGGTACAGATGTTTTGACGTTTGGTTCTACAAAGGGTGATTACAACAGGGTTTTTCTTAGTCTGGCCTACCTTTTGAAAAAATAGAGGCAATCACATATTGGAAAAGAAGAATTTCTGTATAAAGACATTTAGTGAGGGAAAGTTCCTCTCTCTCTCTCTCTCTCTCTCTCTCTCTCTCTCTCTCTCTCGTGCACTTCCCCTTCCCCTTTCTTTCCTTTCCTTCCCAGGTCCTCTATGTTTCTCTTTCCCCATCTTCCTGTACTGTTCCTCACTTTGGAGGTTTTCAATCTGATCCTTTTCCTCCTCCCTCTTCATTGTACCCCCCTCCTAGTGATTCTTTTATTTTTAATTATTAAATTTAAGTTTTCTTTGAGGCAGAGCCTCATGGATCCCAGACTGTCTTGAACTCACTTTGTAACAGAGAATGACCTTGAACGTCCAGTTCTCCTGCTTGGACCTCTGGAGTTTGAGTGCTGGATTCCAAGCATGCACCATCTCATCGAGCTCTGTGCGGTGCTGGGCATGGAGCCCATGGCTTCCTGCATGCTGGTATGCCCTCTGCCAAACCGAGCTACATCCTCAGCCCCTGCTGATTCTCTAGAGCACTGTACTTTGCAACTGTTCAGCGTTGGGCTCCCCATCTATACGGCTTCCCTTTTTGTCTTAGCCCATCCTGTGTCCATGTTGCTCTCCTATCTGGATTTTTCATTCTAGACATATATTGGCTACTTTTGTTAGGTGGCAGATAAAGGGAATAACTCAATAAGGGAAAACAGGAAGGAATTTTTTCCTACAGCTAATCCTCTCTCCTTCATCTAATGGTTCCAATGAGATTTAGCCTCTTTTACTTCTTAAAATTTATATGCACGAATGTCAGAGCTGGGATACAAATCAGTGCGTCATTTATGAGGCATAAAGACAGGACCCTCTGGAACACTCTGCCAGTTGAGGCTCTGCTAGCAATTTGAACTACATTTTAACCTCTCAACTCTGCTCCTGGGGACATATGAAACTACTTGGAGTCTTCAGCAGTCTGACAATTTTACACCATCTCCTCTGATTATTTTTGACAACTTGAAGTGCCCCAAAGGTGGCCAAAGGGTCAATAGGTTTATGTAGGTTGAAAATGATCAAAAATTACCATTGATCTGTAGCTGTCAATAAAGGGCTGCACGGGAATAGTCCCTGCACAAATGTTTAAACTGCAGAAAGCTGCCTAACTTAGTCATCTTTGAGTCTATTGATCTGATGATCCAGCAGTTTCCAGAGCTTTCCCTCTGGTCTTTGTGGTGCACTTTCACTAAGCCCATCTACCTCAGCCCTTCGGAAGCTTTTTTCACATTACTCCCAGGAATGAAGAGGCAGCGATGGCGGGCACGGGCACTGCTTGTTTATCAATGGGGTATTAAGGATGCCCACTGCACTTTGGAAAGGGTTCATCTTTGGGCACCACCCACCCCACCGCAAGCCAATGGGATTTCTTCTGCTTTTGTGTTTGGTTCTCCACTCTCCCCTTCCCAGGCTCCTCATCCCAAAATGGATCAGTTCTGGCTTAGAAACTCTGACCAGTCAAGGGGATTCTTTACCTCTTTGTTTTTCATAAATGCCAAACCCCAGAGATAAGTGACTTCAAAAAGTGCTTGCTATGCAAACAGAATGACTGAGTTCAACCCTAGCACCCACGTGTAAAAGGTGCTTGTCTGCAGACAGTGCTGAGAAGATGGGGAGACGGGTGGATTCCTGGGGCTCACTGGCCAGCCAGCATAGCCAAATCGGTTATCTCTGGGTTTGGTAAGAGTCCCTGACTTATAAAGTCAGGTGAAGAGTGAAGGAGGAAGATACCCTATGTTGACCTTTGACCTCCACACACATGGGTACACATGTGCACTGGCACCACATCAGCAGATGCAACACACTCAGTTGCTTTTTTGCACAAACAGCACTTCAGATGTGAACGTCAACACCTTAGATAATCCATCAGGTATGTTTTACTTTCTCATTGTGACAAAAATCAAGGCGCAGTTATGGATAAGAATTGCAGTGTCAGGTTGAGATTACAAACAAAGTCCAGGGACAGTTTAAATACTTGGGTCTTGTTTCTTAAAAGCCCTGGTTTTAGATGGGGTACCTGAGGTCTACTGGGTGACCGTTCTATGCTGTGATGCTAACAAATCAACACGAAACCTTCCAGGCTTCTTTCTTTAACCCAGATAATCTTAATCATGGGTTTTGTAGGGGCTCTTTTTTCTTTTTCCTTTATAAAATCAACATTTGTGTTCTTCAAAAGGTTTATCCATATATTTGTACCTAGTATTTATTTTGCAAAAAATCAAATTGGTCCCGATCAAGAAATATTATCTTTGCTATGCATTAGGCAAACACCAGTCTTGGATACCTAAGACTTTCGAGACTGAAAAATGTAAATTTCATCAGATAATTTCCATTGATTTAATGTACATATTT